GGCCAGGCCCAGGGATAATAGCACTGGGAGGCAGCAGAGTAGGCCTCAGTCCCACTGCGGCCATGAACCTGCCTCCCAGCCTCCAGGGTCAGCTCTGCGAGCCTGGTGCCAGCAGCACTGCACAGCCTGCAGGCATCCAGAGGAGGAGGCAGGGAGTGAGGAGGAGGAGCCTGGGGTGAGGAGGTGACAATCACTGCCTAGGTTCCTGCCCTTCGGCCCAGAGTTCGCAGCAGGAGCAGCCACTCATCCCGGTCAGCTGAGCAGCACTCTGACTGTGGCAGCACACTGACCACCAGGGGGCAGCTCCTGCGTTGAGCGTTTGCCCCTGGTGGTCAGTGTGTGTCATAGTGACTGGTTGGTCATTCTGGTTGCTCTGCCGTTCAGTCACCAGTCTTTTATTATATAGGATAGGGATTGTTATCATGAAAATTACAAGCTTCTATTCACACAAAAATTCCCCATTATAAAATATTTTTAAAATTCACAAATGAAACAGTTATCAACAAGCCTGCCATTTCCTCTATATTATAGGATTATTTTCCAGAGGATTGAACTTCTATTCCTGAAAGATTCTAGTTTTCATTTAAACCTTTAGTTAAGCGATGGATGTCATCATTCAGTGTCTTCTCTGGGTCCCAGTTCTATCCTACTCTTTTTTTTTTTCTATTCATTTAAGACCAAAAAATTCTACTGCATCTCCTCAAAAAATCAGGATTACATTAACCCAAATATCCTCATTATTTATATTGCTACACATGAGCAACATATTGACTTTGCCAAAATAATTACACAAACTTGAAGCATGAGTCACTACCCAGAGTTCCTTTAGTGACTTCATCCAAGCCTCCTGCCAGCTCTCCCATCTGGCATTTGGCCAGGGTAGGGCTGCAAACATGGGTTTAAATCCAGTGAATATTTCCATTTCTGTTTACCTTCAAAATTGATCAACCTTCTTAACAATAATGCATTCCAAATAAAGTTTTCAATATGAGAGTATTATGCTAAGTGAAATAAGTCAGATAGAGAGAGACAAAAACCGTATGATTTCACTTAAATGTGGAATCTAAAAAAACAAAGCAAATGAAGAACAAAACAAAACAGAAACAGACTCATAGATATGCAGAACAAGCTGAAGGTTGCCAAAGGGGAGGGGAGGGAGAGTATGGGAATACAAATTTTTAAATAAGTAAATAAATCAATAAGAGTGTCAGGGTATGTAAGTACTGGTTTGTCCTTGGCTCTGCAGAACTTGATAGAAATGTTCTCATTTTCTGCTGTTTTTCCTTTTGCCTGTAGAAAGCACACTTCAGGCAAGAATAAATTCAAAAGCTGGTAGGCAGTGTTTGAGAAGTAGTTTTCTCTGTCCTTGCCTTTCTCAGGTGTCCATGAACATTGTGCCAACATTAAGACCATTGCAATGACTTTCTTCTTTTCATTTTCTTTCATCTACTCACCAGGCTTCAACTCCTCTTGGAGAAAAATCGTAAGGAAATCAAAGCCATGGAAATTTTGTTTTGTTTCCCCGCATCAAGAACTCTATAATGTGCACTATGCTCAGTGAAATCCATTTCAGTTGTCCTGCTTCTAGTTTCCAGAGTTTAATACAAAATGTATATATTTCATTTGATTAATGTACCTATTATTACTTTTGATCATGTGCACAAGACAAAAAATTTTTTTCAAAGGCAAAAATAGGCAGGTTCTGCTATAAATAGGCGGTTCTTCATATTATAAAGCACTTCAACAAAAACTTTTTGCATCAAACTAGTCAGGTTTTTTTTTTTCTTAATTTTTTCAGGTTAAAATCTGTCTGGCTGACTAAACTACCTGGCAATTGGATGAGCTTGCCCAGGTGGCTAGACACATTTCTCACACTCTATTTTTCAGATTACCTATTACATAAAAGATATAGAGTCCATGTTGAAGTAAGAAAGAACTTAGAAATAATATAGTGTGCTTGCAAATACCTGCCTCACACAACGTGATCTCCATTCTAGGGTAGAGAGGGCACATTTGTTCAACTTGTTTACCTAACAAAGCAAAACATAACTTGCATGTGTTGGGTTATTTTGAACAGTCATTTGCAAAGCTTCAAAGCACAAACCAGCAAAAAAAGAAAAAATAGGCATCAATGTCTGATCCCAGACCACAGGAAGGGAGGAGCCTCAGGAGCAGCTGAGCCGGGGTCTCTAACGCTGTCAGAGATCCCCTCCTCCCCCCTTCTCTCCGCTGGCCCGCTTCATTCTCACAGGTATCCTTTACCTACCCTGCTGGAACCAGAGCCACTTGCAATTCAGATATTGGTACCTTCTCAATGTCAAAGCAAGAAAGTAAAGAACCTCTTTTTCCCTTCCACTAGCTTGATTGTGGTAATCATTTCACAATGTACACATGTATCAAAACATCATGATCTACACCTTAAATATATACAGCTTTTATTTGCCAGTTATGCATTAGGTGAACTTCCCCCCCCCCTTCAAATATTCTCTGATATTCAAGTAGGTGTTCCTAGAAGTAAAACAAAACATGGAAGATTCTTTTTCTCATCACTTATAATCGGCTATATTAATAATTTTAGAGTACCATTAATGATCTTTCCACATAAAAATAAATGCTCTAGAATTATTCTAATTCAGCAAAGTCAGCAGTGCCCACGTCATTGAATGAAAGTACCATAAACATGTGTTATTAGTGGAAATAAATGGCTATTTCCTTCATCACACAGACATGTCTGGGCAATTCTAGGAGCCAATAGGAATGTGTCTTTTCCATGCAGTGTTGGGCACCACAGCCAGTGACACAGAGGACTCTGAACTGGAGCTGGCGGCTGACCAGCCCACGTGCAGGTGACTTCCACTCTGGACCATCCTTTCCTTGGCTATAAAAATCACAGGATTGGGTAGGGAAACTTACAGGTGTTTTCCAGTTCCAAAATGATATAATTCTAACAAAAATTTCATTGGCATAATTGGGACATAAAAGTGCCATTTGTTTTTATCACTTAGAGTAAAGCCAGTTGTCAGCCTCTCATTTATTAAACCTTTACACAGCCCTTTCCCGCCCTCTGGACCGGGCAGCAGGGGCATGGGATGAGTACATGGCAGTCCTTATCCTCAAGGAGCATGCAGACTGGGTGTGCAGAGGGGAGCGGGTATGGGGAAAGATCATTGAAACGCAATGTCGCAAGGGCTCTGTCACAAGGGAGATTAGCAGACAAGGAGCACAGGGAGGAAGTGACTAACACCCCTGGGGGGTGCCTGACAGAGGAGGTGCTATTCAAGACGAGCCTGGAAAGGTGAGGTCAGTAGATCATCTGTGCAGATGGCCAAGCCTGAGAAAAGAAAATCTGGGCAGGGGAGAAGCACGTGACAAAGGAGCCCCTGGCGCTCTGAGAAAGGAGTCTGTGGGGATGGGACAGGTATGGGGACGTTATCCTTTTGGCAGGAGAAGCCACCGAAGGGCTTCACACGGAGTTAGCAGGCACAGGCCTGCCTTCTAGAAGCTCCCTGGTGGCAGTGCAGAGGGTGGATCAAGGGAAAGGGGCCTGAGGGCAGGGCCACTGAGCCATTGGGAGGCTCTTACAATCATGGTTGAATGAGCTGATGGGAGTCTGGATTGAGGCAGGGGCAGGGGCAGGGGCAGGGGCAAGGGAGAGAGAAGACAGGTGTTACTGAAGGAGGAGAAGGTGTTCCCAGGGCCCATGAACTGAATTACGTTTGCCATGTTGGGAAGGAAAAACTTTTCTTGTGCCCTCTTAGGTTCAGTTCCTAGGGGGTGTGTTAATTAAACTAACAAAAGCCAGATTAACAAGAGAAAAAAGGCACACAACTTTTATTAATATTAATATGCACTGGCATTCACAGAAAAAAAGTGAAACTCAGAAAAGAAGTCAGACTCGGAGACTTACATACCATTTTAACAAAGGAAAGGGGGGTTGGGCTTCAAGGGAGGATAAATCATGGGAAGTGCCAGGAAATAGAGCGGGGAACTAATGGAAGATAAGTTGGTTTAGTAAATTCTGTTATGCAAGCTGACCTCAGTGTCCACTCTGTCTTGCTCCTCCCTTCCTGGTACCTCCCCAAAGGGAAACTTACGTCCTCCTTTAAGCAGATAAAGGGAGGACAGACATCTGTTGATTCTTAATTGCCTTCAGATAAAATAATCCTTGTGCTAAACTGGCATGTTGTGGGTGGCATATTCTGATCCCCTTCAACCACATGTGTGGTTTTGAGTTTAACCTCACCAAGCCTCACTTTTCTTATCTCCAAAATGAGATTAAACTTGGCAGATTTGCAATTAAATTATAATCACACAATCCATTTAAACTACTCAAAACAACAGTAAGTGTTCAACAAATATAATTCATCATCAATTTTGTTATCATGCACCACCTCCAGTCCTCCCCGAGGGAGCAGGGCCCAATGGAGCTGACCAGCAGCGTGACATTAGCATGAGGCCAGTGCAGACGGGGGCTCAGCGGGCAAGTGAACCCAGAGTGACCAGGAGCAGAAAGAGCCGGAAAATGAGGCTATAAATGTCCTTTGGGTGTCCAGGGTAAAAGCTATAAAGCCAGAATCTGTCATCAAGGTTAAGGAACTAGTGTGAGGGCTGAAATAAAAAATGAAGACAAGAAGGTCATGAAGAATCAGGGACGAAGTGGGAACCAAGAACAAGGGTTTAAGAGAGGAAAGAAGGTCTCAGAGCAATTGCTGCTGAAAAGCAAGGGTGTAGGTGGCCCCGTTGGTCAACTTGGTTTAAAAATCAGGACCAGAGCAGACGCTGTTGACTATCACCCTCTATTGACCTTGAAAACACTTCCCAACAAAAGACTGGAGAAACCTGTGGTGAAGAATCTCTCCACTTTCAAGGACATGAAGCCTTCCCCGAACCCTCACGGTGGTAGGGACAGCATTCATTCATTCTCACTGTCCTTCCCACCCAAGACTGAAAATCTGACGGAAGAGATCATTGTAAGTTAAAAGAACTTTTAACTGACTTACCACGCCTTATCTGAACGGTTCCCGCCTATTCATCCTTTCATCCTCACAACCCTCGACGTAGACACTGTCATCACCCCCATTTTAGAGATGAGTAAGGTGAGGCTTAGTGCTGGTGAGGAACTTGGGTGAGGTCATCCAGCCAGTCAGATCCCGATGTCAGATGTCAGAGCCACCCAGTGCTGGGGCAGGACGCCGGGGAGGCCGGAGCAGAGACGAAATTCCCGACCTCTTCCTCTGAGACCGGGGGCACGTGGAGAAGGTTAAGTAATTTGGAGTTGCTGGGGGAAGAAGGAAGTTGAGGTTGTTGAGACTAGACGGCCTCTGTATTCTCTGAAAAGCCAAGCTTGTTTTACGTGAAAGAGCTGGAAGTGGGTAGTGGTGGGAAAGCATGAGGCCAGAGATTTCCTGGAAGGGGCCCGGGACCCTGAAAGGCTGAGAGAAGGGCTCGTGAGGGGTGCAGCCCTAATGAAGACTGGGCCTTCCAGGGGCAGATGCTGCTTATAGAGTCAGGAAGCCCCGGGGCCTTTAACAAGACCCAGCCCCAGAGCTCTGGTCTTTTGAAATGAGTTTGGGAACCAATACAATATTGGGGAGGGGAGGGAGCGTTCTAATGTTCGCCTGTGGAGAGGTTTGCGCTAGAACCTTTTGGTATTTACGATGCGACCCCAATTCAGCAGCAGCATCGCTCGGAAGCTTGTGAGAAAGGCGGACTCTGGCCCCCACTGGATCCACTGAGTCCGAGTCTGCACTTTAACCAGGCCTCAGGCGACTGCTGTGTGCAGCGGGCGAGAAGGCCTGTTCCAGAAGGCAGAGCTGCCAACCCTGAAGCGGCTGTTCAGGCCTCAAACTCACTCAGGGTCTACGATTTCATTGCCCTGATTCTCAAGACATAAACCTCTGGAGAAGAAGTGCCTGAGTGAGCAATTCTAACACAACCTGGATAGCCAAGTGCGGATGAAAGATGGAAGGGATGACTCCCTAATGTCCTCTGAAAGGAGCAGCAGGTGTGTGGCCTCGTGCAGGAGAACATTCCCACCGGGTATTCTGTAGCCTCGGAGCAGTGTCTCTCCCATCATCCAGTCATTGCTGAACACCTACTATGTGTCAGGCTCTCTCCTAGCTGCTGGGGAAACCACAGCAAAAGAAACATGCAAAAATTCTTGCCTCCGTGATGCTTACGTTCAAAAGGGGAAAGAAAATAAAGCAAATCAGTCAAAATAGGCAGTTTGCTAGATGGTGTAGTACTATGGAGGAATATAGAGCAGGAAGGGGTATAGACAATAACAGTGGTAATTTGCACTTTCACTTTTATTTATGTACTTAATGAAGAAGTTGAATGTTTATTGTTAAACTTTCTTGTTTTCCCACGAGACTGCTATGTCGCTGTATAAAAATAGCACCAGCAAACTCAGTCTATGGCAAAATTAAGATAGTATTGTTTGGCATCTGACACTGTATAACTAACAAAAACTTCTCCACTGCCAGTTATTTCCAGTGGAAAGATCATTATTTTGACCCAAATCAGATATGGATATAAGTAAGTTACAACATTATATAAGGCTTAAGATAACAATGTTATCCTTGAATTATATTACTTTTATAACTAGATTTTACCACAGATAATTTCAGGAATTCTGATATTATTATAACTGTAGCCTTGCCTAAAAACCATCGGGTGTTGTGAAAAAAAGTATATTGTGTTTATCTGCAATTTTTAGAAAGTTAAGGGGTATTTTCTTCCAATAGCATTCTTGTATCTTTTTCAATTGATATCACTAAAAGTTGCTATCTTTAATCTTCTATTCACCACTAATATTTAAGAAAACCATGCTAGGTCCAGTTGTTTCATGCTACTTTATTTAGAGGGTTCCATTTTCACTTCTCAATAGGTTTTATGTATTTCTTATGCTTCTTCACTCATTGATTCATCTAGTTCTGAAAGGTTACTCAGTGTCATCTTGATCAGCCAACCATCTTCATAACAAGATTTGTTGACAAGTCCTGGATTTTCTGCAAGAGCTTCACTAATTCCAGACACTTCTTCTGATCCAGGAGAATGGAGCTCACTAGCAGCTTTCATACTTTCCAAAGCACCAAAGGCACTTATTGAATTTTGCCTCAATTTCAGGCAGCCTACAAAAGCAACATCTCCCAAAGCTTCCTGTGCAAATTGCTGACTCCCACTGCTCAATACCACTTTCTGTTGTTATCCATGTTTCTCTATGAATTTATGCACCAAGAACAGATTGGGGCAGGTACACAGCTTCTGGACAGCTCCTACCCTCCAGCCCTGGGGGCCAAGAGTGGGCAGGGCGTGGCTGGCACCAAGGCTGTGCCCAGCCTGCAGGCCGTGGTGAATGCTCCTTGCAGCTGGGGCTGTAGTTTGCACTTTTAGATCGTGGAGCCCTGTAGGCCTCTCTGAGAAGTGACATTAAGTCAAGACCCAAAGGAGATGACAGAGCAAGCTAGACAGGTCTCTGCATGGAAGAGCGTTGCAGACAGAATAACAGCCAGGGCCGGGCCCTGGGTCAGGAGTGAGGCCGGCTTGCTTAAAGAACAAGGATTCCTGTACGACCCGAGAGGAATGAACAAGAGGAGTAGGAGAGTTGGTCAGAGTCACACAAGGCCAGATGCTAGTGGGCCTTACAGGACTCAGTTAGAATTTCTGCTTTTACCATGAGCGAGTTGGCAAAGCAAAGAGGGTTTACAGCAGAGGCGTGATGTGGTCTGACTTATGTTGTAACAGGGTCACTCTGGCTGCTGGGTCAAGGAGAGGCAGAAGCAGGGAGAGCCCCTCGGAGCTGCTGAGAGAGTCCAGCCCAGGGACCTGGAGATGGGCGATGCAGGGCTGTGGGGAGGAGAGGCTGGCTGCTGGATATGGAGTGAAGGTAGAGCCAAGTTGAATGTGGAATGACTCCAGGGTGTTTTGCCTGAGTCACTGGAAAGTTGGAGTTGCCATCATCTGAAACGGGGAAGACCTCAGGCGGATCAAGCCAAACAAAAGAATCTGCAACAACAGAACATGGTGCAAAGCACTTAGAAAAAACATGTCATGTTTTTGTTTCACCTGTTCCGGGAGCAAGTCGTTTTTTGCTTTAGTTGGGAAAGGTAAGTTAGGTGTTTCCTCTCCCCTCCTTAAAAGGATGGACGAGAGTTTCGGATTACCAAGTCCTTGCCAAATGTCAATTGTGAGCTGGCACCAAAAGCTTCTGAGCTAGTACAGCGCCCTGGGCACAAACAGTGAAGACCAGCTCCCTTGAGGGAAACCGTAGGCTGGATCTAACCGGAACCGGATGAGCACCATCAGTCACGCTCCCTGCACTCCTGCAACATCGCCATTCTCTCAGAACAAACCTTTAGTTAATGCCACTTGGTGCCTGGCATCTTCAGTCACAACTGAGAAAAGCCTTTCTCTGCCTACAGGGCCCCCAGCGGGGCCAGGAGAAGACCTGTCCAGGGGACAACGCGGCCAGGCTGATTGGCAGTTGGAGAACTCTTCTCTCCCCGCCCCCGCCCCTGACCCCCAGCTTTCCTGAGATAGAATTGACAGATAACATTGTGTAAGTTTCAGGTGTACAGTGTGATGATTTGATAACTGTGTGTATTGTGAAATGTTTCCCGCAGTAAGGTTAGTTAACACCTCACACAATTACCATTTTGTTGTCGTTGTTGCTATGGTGAGGACAGTAAAGCGCTGCTCTCACAGCAACTTTCAAGTACACAGCACAGTATTGTTCCTACAGTCACCGGCAGCACAGTACATTCCTAAAACTAACTCACCTGATAACTGGACGATTGCACCCTCCCGTTAACATCTCCCCATCCCTTGGCCCCTGGCAACCACCATTCTACCCTGTTTGTATGAGCTCAATGTTTTTAGATTCAACAGATAAGTGAGATCATGGGATATTTGTCTTTCTCTGTCTGACTTATTACACATAATATAATGCCCTCAAGGTCCAACCATACTGTTGCAAATGGCAGGGTTTCCTCTTTTCTATGGCTGAGTAATAGCCCATTGTATGTGTATGCCACCCTTTCTTTATCCATTCATCTCTCAGTGGGCACTCCGGTTGTTTCCATGTCCTGGCTGTTGTGAATAATGCTGCCATGAATGAGGGAGAGCAGATACCTCTTCAAGAGAGTGATTTTCTCTCCTTTGGATATGTACCCAGAAGTGGAGTTACTGGATCATGTGATAGTTCAATTTTTAATTTTTAAAAATATATATTTATATTGATCTCAGAGAGGGAGAGGGAGAGGGAGAGAGAAACATCAATGATGAGAGAGAGGAACATCATTGATTGGCTGCCTCCTGCACGCCCCCTATTGGGGATGGAACCTGCAATCTGGGCAAATGCTCAACCACTGACCCATACCGGCCAGGCTCTATTTTTAATTTTTTGAGGAACCTCCATACTGTTTTCCATAGTGGAAATTTACATCCACCAACAGTGCACAAAGGTTCCCTTTTCTCCACATTCTCATTTGTAATTTCTTGTCTTTTTGGTAATAGCCATCCTAACAGGTATGACATGAAATCTAACTGTGGCTTTGATGTGTTTTTCCCTAATGACTAGTGATGTTGCGTACCTTTTCATGTATGTTAGCCATTTGTATGTCTCCTTTGGAAAAATGTCAAGTACTCTGCCCATTTTTAATTGGATTATTTGTTGTTGGGGTGTTTTTTTTGTTGTTGTTTTTGCTATTGAGTTGCATGAGTGCCTTATATATTTTGGATATTAAACTTATCAATAGATGGTTTGCAAATATTTCCTCCCATTCCATAGGTTGCTTTTTCATCTTTTTTATTGTTTCTTTTGCTGGGCAGAAGCTTTTGACTTGATGTAGTCACACTGAGTTTTGCTTTTGTTGCTTATGCTTTTGGTGTCAGATCCAAAAAAGAAAAAAATGATCGCTAAGACTGATGTCAAGCTTTTTTCCTATGTTTTCTCCTAATTTTCCTGTTTTAGTTTTATGTTAAGTCCTTTGTCCATTTTGATTTAATTTTTGTGAGTGGCATAATATAGGGGTCCACTTTCATTCTTGTGCATGTGGATATCCAGTTTTCCCAGCACCAGTGGGGAAATTGAAGAGACTGTCCCTTCCCCACTGAGTATTCTTGGCAGCTGGAGACCTCTTTATTGAACCTTTTTGAAAATCAACAAGAAATATGCCAAGAGCCCCTGACATTCAAATCTGGTTGTCCTCTTTTAAAAAAAAAAAATCACTTAATTTTATACACCACCCTCTGAAGAACATTTGGCTTATATTACACAATTTCAGCACTGGAATCCTTTTTAAAGATCGTCAATTTTATGAGTTTACAGATGGTGAAAAAGAGTATATAGATTAGCCAGAGTTGCACAGTTGGTTAGGGGCAGAGCTGAAACAAAGTCCCCACCCTGCTGACCCTGTCACAGTGATCTTCGGGGCCCCGCCCTGCAGCTCACCGCAAGCTACAGGTGTGCTGCAGGTAGGCCAATAAATGGCAGTGCCCACCAATTCTTGCAGAGAGAAAACTTTGACCCTGTTTCTTAAACTATTGAAATTGCTGTGACATTTGAAACACTGGCAAAGCCTTCTAGCTAGAAATATGCAGCTGCCAATTAGATAAGCTTACACACTTTGACCCTCTATGCACTCTCATGGGATTTCCATTGTACACAGCAAACTTGATTTCTTTAAAAAGTTATTTGGTTAAAAGTTTCATCTCTGCTCTTATATTTAAGCTCTTCTAGTTCTTTCTTTTGGGGTAAGGGAGAATGAAAGGTCTATAGAGTGTCATATCATATGGCTAGGCAATCAATATTACTTAGTCAACCCCAAATAACTTACACAATATGTTTTTCATAAAATCAAGCCTTTGTTACTCTTCATTCAGAAACACACACACACAAACACTCTAATCCCCTACAAATTAACTATATGAGTTTCCAGGAATAGTCACCGAAACAATACCATGGGAATCACTCTAGCCTGGATTCCTGCTCCTTTAACACACAACCAATTTAACACACAAACACGGCAGTTTTTTGCCTATCCGTGAACTTCTGGGGATACTGTGCTGTACTGATAAGTACACATTGTACTGATTACCCATCCATCCATTTTCTTTCCTATTGTCAGAGACTATGCTAAATGGTCCTTAAATAGGTCACCCTGCAGTACTGCCCAGCGACGAGTGCCGCATGCCACGGAGCGCCTCACCATTCCTTGATTGGAGCACACAGAAGACTTCTCGAGTCTCGGGCCCTTGCAGTTGCACATGGCTATGTGACCATGTGAAAAGAAGGGAGTGTCATTTCTGGACCCAGCACCGAGAAGCGCAGGTGGGATCCTCCAGGGTGATGAGGAGGCCACAAACTGCAGACGATACGGCTACGAGATGGTGGAGCCTCTGGCGCCGTGGTTTGAGTGACTGTGTGGAGTCACTGCCAATTTGACTGGGACATATAACTGGAGCTAGAAATGAAGGTTACTGTGTAAACCACTGAGCGTTGGGCTGCTTGTTTCTACAGCATTCTAAGGAACCCAATGACGGCAGCTGGTATTGTTTCGAAGCCGCGTGGACCAGGTATTCCCCCTATAAATGTCCTGCACACTTTCCAGCAAGCCGCACGTTCCAGCCCTGGGGAAGGACACACAAACCCAGTTGCACAAACCCGGGACTCCTCCAGGAGGTGCCTCCTACCTCAAGAAATGCCACCTTCCTCTGGCCCCCGCCACACACCTCTCCTGCTCTTCCCAAACACACTCATGGGCATTCAGGGAAGACAATTGCTGGCAATCCCGGTGCAGCCAGGACTCACTGCCAGGACCCTCCCCTCAGGAAGCTCGTGCCCAGACTCCAGCTCCCTTAGGAAAGGATCCCGTCCTTGGCTGGCCTCCTGGCTTCTCTCCTGCCCACTCAATGAGTTCAATGCACAGTTTTCTAAAAAGCAGTCTAAGACTCACCTCAGTACCTGTTAGAGGTGCTATTTTCTCCCTCTGTCCATAAGTACATGCTGGTATTTCTGCATTTCTCTCTCTTCTATTGTAAAGGAATCAGCCACCCTCCACTGAGAGCCAACGCTGAAATCTGAAATGCTGTCCTGAGGTCACCAGGGTGATCTCATAGGTTGTATCATCTGCTCCAGTGCAGGCAATTCCCATGCAGATGCTTCCAACTGAGCCTCTTCCAGGCTCCACTTCTGATTTTCCAGGGTTTCCTTGTCAGTTGGAGCCTGCCCTCTCCTGTTATTTTTAGATTTGATTTCACTTTAAGAATATAAAGGGCCAGGGGTGGGGATGGGGAGAATTTTGTTTCTTTTTCATTAAAAACAGATGACAAAGACAACTCAGTCATGGAAAATAATAGGAGTCACTCTGTCTTGCTGGCTCCCATTCATGTATTTCCTCCATCAGCCCCGAATGAGCAGAGAAGCAACAATGCTAATTAAGGCTCCTCTGCCTTCCCTAGAAGATACACATTGTCTAAGCAGATGTCTACTGGGATTCCATTGGGAAACTGCATATGCTGTTCTTCCCTTTCCAGTCCTGTTCACAGAATGATTGTACTTTAGAGCTGGAAGGAAACTTGACTATATGTTCTGTGACTACAGGGAGAAGCCCAAGGCCAAGGGAGGTGACGGAGAAGGTCCAGCCTGTTGAGGTCTCTCCATTCCCACCTTCTCATCACTGAGCCTGTCTGTTGCATCCACATTTCTGAGCTGCCCTAACAGTCAAACTAGACCTAGAGCTCCTGCAAGTGAGGCCCCTGCCTTATATGTTCTGCTCCCCAAGTTCTCATGAACTAGCAGACCAGGAAGATATCCCTGGTTGAAGAACTGGGCTTTCAGTTGGTCTCCCACACACTCCTGTTTTAGTTTACCTCCTTTCCAGTGGCACTGTCTCTCTCTCGGACAGATTTAGCCTTGTGCACATCCAGCGAGCTTGGTTGGTTATATGCTCCCCTGTTTGTTAACTCCAGATTTACTTCCTAAACTTTATTTAAATTCAGTCTTC